TCTCCAGCCTGGCTGAGAAGTGAGCCTCCTCTCTTCATACCACAACCTCAGGCTCTGCACCCTGTGTCTGGTGCTGATGGGCTACACTTAGCCTCCTCTTCGTAGCTAAGGAAATAATAAGCAGCAAAAGGATTGCAAGGTCAAAAACTGGGGATCTGAAAACACACTCATTTTCCAGCAGCCAGTGACCCTAAACACTTCATTTTGCTCTCCTTTGTGTTGAAATTTGGCTTTTTAATCACCTCATTTCTGTTTATGTAATGAAAAAACTCTGTCTAGAAGTCTTCTAAACACGGTTCTTCACATTTCTGATATTTCTCAGCTTGGCAGGGGCACTATTTCCATTCTCAACCAGTGTTCTAACCAGGTCCTGGTCAAGATCTTCAATCAGGCTTCAATCAGTCTGGAGTTCAGGTATTTACAGCATGAAGCAGCTGAGAAGACTGGGAAGTTGCTCTTATTTCTATCAGGAAGCTCTGAGCTAATAGAAACTGCCATACATTAATATGAGATTTATTTCCTACAAAAATACTTCATATTCACTCTTCCTTCACTGAACTCTCAAACTTCTATTCCTAAATCTCTTTATTGAGAACACTTCAGTTAATTCTTACTGAGTACAGGAAGGGGAGATGCATCTTGTAAAATGCTGTTGTTCAATAAAAATTTTCAAAGAATTCTTTTTTTTTTTTTTTTTTTTTTTTTTTTTTTTTGGTACTGGATTTGCACTTGCCAGGCAGGTGTTTATGCCACAAAGCTAAATCTCCAGCCCGAAAGCATTCTACCATGTTTCATTACTCAAGCTGTTAATAGATTTCCCAAGTTCTTCACTTTTTCTTGATTTAACTTCTACTTTTGAAGTTTAAACAACATTAAGTTGAATGTAAACATACACAAGGTTTTGTTATGAATTCTACCAATGAATAATTATAAAATCAGTATTTAATTCTAAATTTAAAACATCAGGAAGAAACTGTTCTATTTTCTTGAAAAATATGAAATATTTTACTGAGGAATATGAATACAGTGTTTTCCTAAAAAACCGTATGCCCCATAACCACCTTGGGATAATATAGTCTTTCCTTATAACTTAGCTATAAACATTTTGGATAGTGTTTATTTAAAAAAGAGACAGAAAATTGCACTGTATTATTACAGAAAGTGACAATCAGTTACCACACACTGCAAGAAAAACAATCCCATCTAAAAATAACCACTATTGCAGAAGTTGACCATATGCTCATGGTTAGTCTCACGTTTGCATATCTCCCATCTTACAAAATACATGTGATTCCTGTCCAGACTCTGACATGATTGATGCTGAGGACTCAGAGACCATGTTAAGAGCCCCCAAAAAATGCAACTCAAGGAACAAGCTGCTGAAAATGATAGCACGTAAACCTTACCCCTGGGAAGACATGGGACAAGACATTTAGGGATACAATGAGATTGGAATGTTTGGAAAGAGCTGAAGTTAAGCACCACTGGGAGCTCTTGAAGGAAAAGTACACTTATGATAAAAGAACAGGGAAGAATGAGGAGATTGGGAAATGTAAACTTTGCATCAATAATCATTTAATAAATATATTGCTATCAAATCCCTCAAGATGGTCATTTCATTAAGAACTACCAATCCAAAAGTCATGCTATGCAGCTGAGGTTCCATTTCTCCCATCCGAATATTTCATATTCGTGCACTGTATAATATCTGTCACAATATGCTAAGTTCTCATAATCTCAACAAATTCTTCAATTCCAAATTTAGCCTGACTTAGAAAATAAAATTATGGTTGATGAACTGTCTTTTAGTGCCTGGCCAACCACAGTATGCTTTACTGCTCTCCTAAAACTAGGACAAAATGAAGCATAAGATGAAGAATTTAGAGGTTATTACAGCAGACAACCAATAAAATATCTCATAAACATAGGAAAATGTTATGAAACCCAAAAAATTATTAATGAATGAATTACTCACATATGCTAATCATGAAATAAAAAATATTACACCACTGTAACCTCCAGGTTTTAACTGCATTTCTCTCTTTTAAGTTTCATGTGCTCCTGATAGTAATTCTGTTTTGCTACCTAGAATTTTAATTCTTTTAGCCAGTTTTCTAGTTATTAGAAAATTTTCACTATAAAATTATCAGTGATAGATATTAAATATAATATAAAAATTATAAAGCATAAATTATATTTATGACAGGATGACAACCTCCCATACTGGTAAGTATTGGTTAACTCCTCCAGCTTTTCATCATCCATACCTGTGCTGAACCAGTACTGCAGTCCCCGGGGCAGGAGCAGGGTGACACCAATACTAAGGCCTGCCACAGACACTGTGAACTCAGTGGGGTAGACTAGGAGGTCAGTACCACCCAGATACCTGTCCATGGAAATGAGGCACAGGTGGAAGAGAGAAGAAAAGCAAGATGCCACATAACAGCAACTGTAAAGGGCACAAAATATCATTCCAAAATACCAGCAGCTCTCCATGGACCTGAACATGCTGAAAGGCATCAGAGTCTCTCCCATCAGAGTGTCTCAGCACAGGCCAGAGAGGTGATCAGGAAATTTATTGATGAAACTAATCACTTGAAATGGAAGTTCCCTACCCCTACAGAATTAGCACAGTGTCAAAGAAAAACATCTCAAAGAGAACCAGCCAGAGCCCAAGTGAGCAGGGAGATTTCACAAAGGACCCATTCACGCTCTGGAAGCAGAGCTATGGGCTGTGGTAAGGAAGAGCTGTTTGTATGTGAAGAAGTTCTGTTCTTTTCTAATCACATTATAGAACAGATGTCTTTTTCCAGAGAGGGAGAAGATTCCCTACATTGAATGCTTATGCTATAGTTATTGTGTATTTTCCTTATGCTCTGTCCATCACCATTTCAATTTTTATTTCTGGAACTATGCTTTAATGATCCGTTCAGAATAAATGCTGCATGAATGTTATCATTCGCAATATCATTCTTATTGCTGTGAATAGAACTGAGAAGCAATTTTTTAAGTTCACAAGAATTTAACTTCAAGTACTTCTGCCGCACACTTTGTAGTCTCACCAATGACATCCAATGTTGCAGTTCATTGGTCATCTTTTGCTATCTATTCTGGATTTCTGAGATCTCCCTCTTTGTCAAAATAATAGGATTTGTGATTCACAAATTACCTTTATTACTACGCATACATAAGGCTGCTTGAGAAGTTAATGACAATACCCCGAGAAAATGCCAAATGCCACATTCAAAAGACCTTATAGAGTCTCTGAAGTCCAAAGAGTGAATATGAATAAAGAGAAAAAATACTTATTATGTTGTCTATTTAAATATACTGGTTAGTGCAGAATAGTTTTTGTAACAAAATTTAGCAGGACTATATGAAAAGAAAAATGAAAATACATTGCCACAAATAATACATAAAAATCCTAAACTCATTTTACAAAAAGATGACACATCATAATTGAAGTCTCTATGATGAATTAAATTGTGCTTACCAAAGGAAAACTAATCCATATAAATCATTATTTAACAGACTAAAAACATAACTTTATAATCATCTGGGAAAATGCAGAAAAAATCATTTAATGCAATTTTAAATGTATTCATTTCTGAAAGGAGTCTCTTGGCAAACTGAATACAAGTGTTCTACACATAGAAAGAGCTCCATAAAGAGCAAATCATTCCTGACACAGATACTTACACAAAGAACTCAATATTTCAAAAAAAATTAAGGCTTATTGAAAACCAATAAAAAAAACCCCAATCATTAATTAATGAATCTGCAGATAAATATATGAAAAAAAATATGAAGGTTTATATACCATTACTCCTCTACAATGTGGTTTGTTTATACATGGAACTCTAGATACGAATTTCAAAATATATTTGAATCAATCATGTAAAAAATCCCAGGAGATGAAATATAAAATTATAGCATGCTTTTTTTTACTATTTCTAATGCAATATACTTTATTCGAAGGATTAGCATATAATCCTCAGCCCAGAACTTTCTGAAAAAAATAAAATGCAGAGGTCCTTCCTCCCTCCTCTAGATAATGCTTTCTGCAGGTCAGCTGCTGGTGATAATCAGTCATTTCCATTTTCACTGTATTAAAATGGTCATTGTGACTACACTTTGTCATAGATCTCTCCGCCTGCAAAATTTCTGTAATTAACAGAGGTAGTTAAGGCTGCATTGCTGCTCCCACAATACTTTTTGCACAGCCATCAACATGAGGAGCTTACTCAGTGCCCCACGAATTCCAAGGAGCCACAGACATTGAAGGAAGAGCAGCAAATAAACAGCCTGTTTGGCAGCTTCATCATGACTGAGCTGTTACAGGCTGAGCTGTGGGCTGAGCTGTGTCACTTGAGATTCAAATGAGAAACTCCTAAGCCTCAGCGCTGCAGTCTTTAAAGAGGTAACTAAGTTAAAATGGGATGTGTAGGGTGGGCCCCAATTCAACATGATTGCTGTTCCACAAAGAAGAGATTAGGACTGAGAAACACTCAGATGAAGAGGATGTGAAAAAAGAGCCCCTCAAAACATAACAAAGCTAGGAAACCTTCATCCAGGACATCTAGGTTCTAGAATTCTGAGAATGTTTGAGTCTGTGGTCTGAGCCGCTTGACTGGAGGTAGAGGTTTACAGAAGCCCTAGTAAGCTAACACAGTGTCCCTGGAGACAGAAAAAGAAGAACATTTCAAGGGAAACTAGATGTATCATAAAAGACAACAGGAGATACCACATCTAAAAGTGAGATTTAGAAATCAGCAAATTGGAAGGAAACAAGTGATGTACAAACATTGACACAAGTAACATGCGTAAAGTGCTTTATTCTTGACTAGCAGTGTAGTAAATATCTTTACAATGACTTCATTTTAACATACCCACAACTTTGGTTCTGGCTAATTTTCCAATTTTGAAAGGTGGCATTTCTCTTAGTTCATAAGTTCCTAATTATGAAAATATTCTTTATTTTCTCAACTTAGTGTTTAAACTTATTCTGAAAATAAACTCATTGTTGATGAACTGTCCTTTAAAATTTCCCCACTTAAAATAACTTTTATGGCTTTTCTAAACCAAGGATAAAACAAAGCATAAATCAAGGGATTCATGGCTGAGTTATAATAAGCACACCAGCAGCAAATCTCATAAATATAGGCAGGTGTGATGAACCCCATAAAAGCATCAATCAATGTTTCAATGGTATATGGTAGCCAGGAGATGATAAAAGCTACCACCGTGATGCCCAGAGTTTTGGCAGCTTTTCTTTCTCTCTTGCCTACACGGGCTTTGTAGTTCTCTGAGGCTGATTCTGAGGAAGCACCCACAGTACTCTCAATTTTTATAGCTTGTTGTTTGGCTACCAAAAAAATTTTACTATAAAGGATTATCATAACAAGGGTAGGTATGAAGAATAACAGAAAATCTATCAAAACCCAATCTTGATTGATAACTATTTGACAGCCACCTACACAGTTGAGAGCACTTACTAAACTTTCCATCCCATCATCATTGACACCTGTGTAGATCATGGTCCCAAAGTACACCAGGGGCAGAGTCCAGGAGACAGCAATGCAAATGCCTGACACAGACCCCGTGAACTTGGTGGGGTAGACCAGGGGGTCGGTAACAGCCATGTACCTGTCCACGGAGATGAAGCACAGGTGGAAGAGAGAGGAGTAGCAAAATGCCGCATCACAGCAGCTGTGAAATGTACAGAATTTAGCTCCAAAGTACCAGCAGCTCTCCACGGACCTGACCATGCTGAAGGGCATCACAGTGACTCCCACCAAGAAGTCAGCGCAGGCCAGAGAGGCGATGAGGAAGTTGGCCGGAGAGTGCAGCTGCTTGAAGTGGAAGACTGAGATCATCACCAGGAGGTTTCCAAAGACAGCCAGCACAGCCCCAGAGCCAAAGGCTGCATACAGCACCACCTGGGAGGCAGGAGAGTAGGGAGTCTTCATACAGGACCCGCTCACATTCTCATAGCAAAGCAGCAAAGCAGGGTGGGAGAGGCTGCTGCTCATGGTTCCACTACGTGTGATGCTTGGTGTATTCCTGCCCTCTGCTGCTGGAGGCAATAATAATAAACACATCAGACCGCAGGTCTGGGCAACCACTTTCAAAGACCACCTTATTTTATATACCTTTTCCATTTTAATTATGAAGAAAATAAAAGAAACTTTAAAACTCAGAAAAATCATTTTGTCTTAAAATTGCAAAATTACACATAAACATCTTAGCTAACCCCGTGCTAATCTATGAATTTTTCATCGACCCAGAAATCTCACAATCTGAAGAATTGAAGATAATTTATTTAATACCTGATTTTTTTATTCCTGTGAAGCTCTCTATTGCAAATGATATTTACATATTTGAGAAGTCACCTTTTAAGAGGCTTCCAACTTATAAAATATTTTAGGACACAAGCCAATCAACTTTACTCAGTCTAAACTCCTCATAAGTCCCTACAGTACAAGGTGTGAATCTGGAAAGGAAAATTATAATTGATAGTTGATAATTACAACTAATAAGATCATCTGAGAGACATGTTTTTTTTTTTTTTTTTTTTCTGCTTTGGAGAATCACTTAATTTCCAAAATCAGGAGTTTTAAGTTCAACTATTTTAAAAGAGCCCTAGGGCCCAGCATTGACTCCCTACATAATTTTCAAGGCCCTGAACAATATAAAAATCAACAAAGGAAATGACAGTTTTCCAAAAGTACAGGAAAAATTTGTCATTAAATGTTCTATAGGCTTTAGAAATGCTAAAGTATTTCTGAATATTTTCCTTTTTTTAATGGTCTCCAAGACCTGACACATCTGGCATTTCCTACAGTGTTCCACTTTCTTGGGTACAGAAGTTACTGCAGGGCAAATGAAAACACTGACTGGTGTCTTTATGGTTGATGCCCTCATGGTAGGCCTGCATGTGAACCATCCACTACCAGGTTCCATGCCTATCATCCACCGAACCAAGTATGCCAGGCCTAAGGACAAGGAAGTTCGGGCAGGCATCTGCCTTCCTACACAGTAGCTATCTCAACCAAAGGCATATAGGCAACCCTGGCATGGTTACAACCTCAACACTAGGAGGCACTTGAGATGTGGACTGAGGTGTGCAAATCAGCCCTTGCATTTTTTGTGACTCTATGAGTCTGTGAAGAAGACAATAGTCTGTGGCCAGCCCCAAGGCTGAAAATGGCACCCAACCAACGACTCTCTCCATCCTGCATCCCAGACCTGCACTATAGTGGGAAGAGGATCACAAGTTGGCCAGTGTGGGAGGGAAAGAAAATAGGACCCATACTGGCATGGGTTGGAGAAGCAGGTGGCAAAGAACATATCAGGGAGGAAGAGACTTAGTGTCATGCAGGACTACAAGTGACTCTGGGTTTTAAGTGTCCAGCACACATTCCATTACCCTCTTGATTCATTTAACAGAACACAAGTTCAGAGATAACATCATTAAGAAATTAAGAGATTGTTGGGGCTGGGGATTTAGCTCAGCGGCATAAGCACCTGCTTTGTAAGCAGGCAGTTGTGAGTATGATCCCCGGTACTGATAAAAAAAAAAAAAAAAAAAAAAAAAAAAAAAAGCAATTAAGAGAACCACTACAAGCACCAGGATACAAATCAGCAGTCTATGTGAAGTTAGCAGCCAGAAGCCCATGGAACAATTCTGCCCATTTCACTTCAGATGTGAGTTTATCTTCTCATAACAGGTACTCATTAATGAAGCAAAAAGTAATTGTACAACAGTTGGGTGAGTGTAGGAGCTTCAGGCCAGGTAGTTCTGATAGTTCTCCAGAACTGGTGTTTTGCTTTAACATTATTATCAGGAATTTAGGTAACTGAGAAAAAACATAAAGAACTGAAATAGAGCAGATTTCAGGTCTGGAACAGTATCTAAATTTCATTCTGTAAGGCAATGAACAAGTAGGAGATGATAACGACTTTTGTCTTTCATACCAATATATGTAGGATTTGAGAAACATCATCTGATATTAAGGATTAAGATTTTAAAATATATGAGAATGAATGTAGAAGAGGATGTAAGTATGACACGAAAACAGTCATTCTGTTGATCATGTACCAAATTTTTCTAGTAATGCTTCGTTACCTTCTCTGTTGTTCTAATTCAGTCTTGCTCACTTTCATTCAGTAATCTTGCCTCCCTATTTTCCAAAAATATTATATAGGCAATTTGAAGACTGAAAGCACATAGGCACTTTGACCAACAGAAGGGAAGGCAGGAGTGAGAGGTGATCCTTAGGTATACAACTTATGAAAGGAAAGATAGGTTCCAATGGATTAGGCTTGTAAAGAGTAGAAAAGCAATCCATTTCTGTGTAGCTACTATATTTTTAGCTGATAAAGAAATTAGTTCTGAGACAGGCAATTAAGATTTCTCATGTACTGGTGCTCTTGAAACCATATAAAAGAATGTAATTGCTTTCTGTAACCTGCCATAGAGCCTAGGATATAAAAAATACTTAGTGTGTGTTGGGTGGATTAAACTTTCACATTGAAAATAGAAGGAACTGGAGAAATACTGCATTCAAAATACCATCTGAAAAAGGAAGCATATGAAGAATGAAACAGAAAAACAGCAAAAATAATCCCATAGACCTTGTGGAATTAAAACATGATGCAGTGAATAGCATAAACAAGAGTGTCGAGTGGTACAGAAATGTCAAGTTGAATAAACACTGAGAATTCTTGCTTCACATTAACAAATAGGTTACAAATGGGCATAGTTAAACTTTAGAGGAATGGTGAAGACAAATCTGGATTGTAGTGGCTTCAGATGAATGGGCATGGATAGGGCAGGAAAGTACAATAATGAACAATGCATAACTGTGAGAGGAAGAGAGCTTTATGGGAGATAGCTAGAGACACAGATTTGAGAGCGTCTCTGTTGATTATGTATGTTGCTGAATCCAGATAAAGACTTGTGTGATACTTTATTCAGGGATGCTAAACAAAAATGAACGAAGAATTTGGCACCAAAAATCACACTCTTTTTGAAAAATTTACTGTCAAGCAAGAAAACATTCACACACAGACCAAGGATCTGATGTTAAAAGGAGCAGAAGATGGACAGGTTTCTCACAGTCAGGGGACCATAAACTCCCTGTATTAGGGAAGTGAAGTTTCTTAGCAGTGCTGTTTTCTAGAGAAGGTGGGCTCAATGGTTAGAAAAGCACTGAACCCTGAGGAGATGTCTGAGACACTTGCAGGGCAGCTGCCTTGGGATTATGAATGATTTTTCTTACCTAGTAGTGCTGTACTCAATTATACAGTGCAATGCATATTAAGTAAAATATTCACAGGTTCTGTGGACTATGACTTAATGTATTCAGTGACATTTTTCTGGCTAATCCAAGCATTCACCTGATTCTGCACAATGTAAAGCACATCCCATGGATAACAGAGTCCCATTGCTCAAGTTGCTTTTGCGGTGCACCTGTGCCCAGGCTGTTATATCCTATCTCATATAGAAGATATGAGGAAGAGCATCTTTTATCAGGAAAAACATTAAAAGATAAAACTTTAGATTCTTGCTCCACACCCAGAGTTTAGCAGGAGTGTCAATGATCCCTCACAGAGGAACTCAGCAGGCTGGCAAGTATGTAAGTAAGGCATCCTGCCATCCTGAGGACTTCAGTGTGTCAGTAGGTGTCACTGACACAGTGACACCTCTGCACACACCTAGAGGAGCTCAGTGGCTGGCAGGAGCCTTGGCAATCTCTCCCCCCACCCAGAGGAACTCATCAGCAACTGGGATATCCATAAGACCTTTCCCACATTCAGTACCTTGATGATCCAACAGGCAAACCCTCTCCCCACCTGGAAGAACTCAGCGGACAGGTGAGAGCATGGGTTAGACAGGCAATTAAGAAGCCAGGATTCACCTATCTGACTCCTTGGGAAGAATTCAAATGACTACACTGTGGGACCAGGCATTAACTAGGTTACTAATGAGCATAGTAACTGGGTGAACTTCAGCCACACAGTGAGACCCTCAGACACACATGACAGATGACTCTAATAGGATTGAAAACACTGAAATATAAACAAAGAGGTGTAAATGACAAAACAAAAAAAGCAAAATGCAATCTCAAATGCCCAACCAATCTGGAACAAGTGTGGGAGAAAACAATGTAGAAGACAATGGAAGACACACACTTGAAATTTCTGAAAAGATAGTAAGTGAAGTAAAGAAACAGACCCATGAACCTATAGAAGAAATCAGATCAGAAGTAATATCTTAGATTAAAAAAGAAATGACAAACTTAATTCTTTAATGAAGGAATTGCTTAGCATAGATAGAGAAGACACATATTAAAAAAAAATACAAGACCATAGAAAAATGACAGATACCTGAGTGAACAATGTAGGAGAGAAATAAAAATGCATTAAACAGATTCAAAGAGATATCCAAGAAATTAAAAACTTCATTTAAAGCTGGCAAAACTGCTTGAACAAAACTGAAGACTGGCTTTCAGACCTTGAAGACAGGATCACAGTGAGCAATTACAAAAGGAAAGATCTCTTAAAAATAGCAAGGGACTATGAAATAATAATTCACCAGATCTAAAATGATGCAAAGAAGAATAATGTAAGACTCATAGGTATCAATGAAAATGTAGGAGTCAGGGCAAATGACATAAAAAAAATCTATCTGCAGAAGTAATAGCAGAAAATTTCCCAAGTATGGGAACTGAATCTGATATACAGATAAGGTAGGTATATAGCAGTCCAAACAACCATAACCAAATAAATCTACTCCCAGACATGTTATAATCAAAATCTCAGAAATTCAACACAAGAAGAACCCACAAGATTCAGCACAAGAACAAAATATTAAAAGATGTTAGAGAAAAGAAAAAGATTGTCTATCAAGGAAAGCCAATTAGAATCACAACTGATTTCTCAACACAAGACTTAATGTCAAGAAGAGCTTGGAGTGAAGTATTTCAAGCCCTATAAAAAAAGCTTCCAAACAAACTATCTTTCAAAATTGATGGAGAAATAGGATAATTCCATGACAAAGAACAATTGAAGAAATTCATGTCCACCAAACCAACACTAGAAAGAGAGCTAAAAGATATTCTAGTTGAATACCACAGACATAT